CTTCAGTCGAAACCTTGGTTGCTCCCGGCAACACAGATTATGTTTGAGATACTAAAAAAATAAGGTATCCATTGATCCAACCACCATGTGATCATTCCAAAATATAATTAATTCTATAAACATAAATTCCCAGTGCCAGCTTACCTTGGGAGCAACGGTGAACAGGTTGGGAAGAGTCCATAGACGTGCAATTGTTTTCTGATACTGTCTTTACTGGGCAATGATCTGCCTCGGCCTAAACATTTCTATGGCAACAACACTGCTGAAGCACAGGTACTTTACTGTGGCTGCAAGTACCTGTGTGAGCATTCACGTCGATCTCTATGACCCTGATTTGTCCCCCAAATCCTAGGCTCACGACTTTTGGCCAAATGAAAAGTAAGCCCCACCCCTTCTCATAATAAGCTCCACCTCATTCAACTGTAAGATTATCGTAGAGCAAGTAATGAACGTACCAACCAGCAAAATGGAGGGCTTTTTGAATCTAATAAGTTGAATCTAATGAGTTGCTAAGGGCAACCGATTCACTTACAGGCCGTATCATGTAAATAAGACCTGCAACATAATACAAGGGGGGAGTGGGTTGGGGGCCATCCCTATAATAAGGCAATCTCATGGGGGGGGCGGCAGATGTTGGGGGGGTGGCACAGCGCCGCAAGTTGCTAAGAGATCTCAACAACCTGTGACGCTCTGCCGAGCCTGCTGCCCAGCTCACTAATGACATGGTTGCCATGAGCTGAGTGTGACACTCTGGCTGGCATCTGGCCGAGCTCATGGCAACCAGTGACGACAGAGCCGCTGACAGCACATACCCCCCCCCAAATAATTATACACTAACAGCACCCCCCTTCCCCATCAGGCAGTTAATAGTGTAGGGACAGCCCTGGCTATAGTCCTCATTAAAGGAAAGTAGTGGACATTAAAAGTGTTGCCCTTAGCAACCGCTCAGATCGCAGTGTGGTCCTTAGCAACCATTAACATCACAGCATCTATTTTATTTCTTTACGCGAAAATGCCTTTTTCTCCAACAGAAACAAATTAAAAAATGAACAAATGTTCTAAAACCGTCATAAACGTGAGTAGGCTGTGTATTTTATTTTCTGAAGTGTGCTTTCTATATGACTTTTTTTTACGGCTCTCTGAGGTAGATCATTGTTAGTAAAAACATTTTAATAGCCCATTTTGTAACCAGCACATTATTGTTTTTTTTGCCTACAATCCCTTCTCTATATTCATTTCTTTATACAGTATAGATGCATAAACACTAGGGAAGAAATAAAGTAAGGAAATCCGGCATCATAAACGCAATTTATACACTAGTGCATGCGGAGGCAACCTTGGCATTCCAGCGGTTATAGAACTACAAGTCCCATGAGGCATTGCAAGACTCTGACAGCCACGAGCATGACTCCCAGAGGCAGACATGATGGGATTTGTAGTTTCAGCATAGCTGGAGTGCAATCGAACATTTTTAAAAATATTTTAAAATACTTTTTGGGAACACATCCCCACTTGTTCTGGCCTAAGTGATAATGATGTATATAGTTACCCGCAGCCTTCTGGGATACTCACATAATGTGTCCCTCAGGATACTCTCCAGCGCATACATTGCGGCATGTTATCGGGGGCCCGCTCTCTATTCAGGTTTTTGCAGTCGGCCCCCTGATGACATAGTCCATGCAGTGCATCATCAGGAGGCCGGCTCAGTAAAGCAGAAATAGACAGCCGTGTCCTGATAACATCAAAGTAGAAAATGGCAGTGCAGGACTTTCTGAGCAGCTGCAAAGTGGTGGATCTGGTGGTGTCCCTTGCATAATTACCGTCTGTAAGGGGGTGGAGTTGTGGTGCTTGTGGTCACATTCTGGGGGAGGCCGTGAGGGTTGATGGGGTGCTGGTGGGGCATGCCAATGGCGCTCTGGCCAGCGCCCTGGTAGTACATTGCCCAGCTATGGCCTGCACCCCTCCGAACTCACTGACATCACTGGTTGCCAGGAACTGGGCGGTATGCCAGCCAGAGCATCTAGGTTATTAAGAGCTGGGAGAGGAGATGTGTATGACCCTTACACATCTTCCCACCCGTTCTTAGCAATCTGTGATGCTCTGGCCGGAAAGACCGAGTCCCCGTCCCCCCCACATGACCCAAAGCGATGGCACCTGAGGCAACAGCCTCAAGCTGCCTCATTATAGGGATCCCTACGTAATACCGCAAGTACGTTTTTTGTGGATAACACAGCTAAAAATGATGATTAGCATCGCACTTTTTACTTTTTTTGTTTGAACGTTTTTGAAATGTCACAAGTGTTCTATGGGCATAGTGTGGTGCGATGAGGTTGTAACGTGTTGCTGCCTGTTCTACTGAAAAAAGTACTGCATGCAGCGCACACCACAACAACCCAGTTGTGTGGACTGTGCCCATCTGTGACATGGCAAATTGTCTTGTCTTGCGTTGGGGCTGTGCTGGTCATTTTCCAATGCATATGGTGTGAATTCAGCAAAGAGTGACCTCCGCCTCTCTCTGGGTAAATGGCACACAAAATATTTCAGGTTTGTATGGGCAGAAGGACCTCTTTATATCTTTCAGCGGTGAGGTGTGCACAGTAATGATGCCCTAATGAAAGGGGAGATAAATTCCAAAACATTTGACCTGCATTGTGCTGCATTTCTTTAGACGAAGCATGTCCTGTTAAAGCGTATGTCAAGGCAAATGAAAAAAAAACACAAAACTGTTACATCTCTGGAATACATGCACATTTTCCCATGTTTTATTACTTTAAACACTCTGCAAGTACAGAAACAAAAACTGTGTGCAAGAAATGTAGAATACTCCTAACATCCTCTATAACATGACAACACAACTGTGAATTTTTTAGTATGTGGTGTCAGCCCTGCCTACTTCATTTCTGATGGCTTACAAAGAACACAGACCTCTCCTCATCTCCATCAACTCTGCTAATCTTCATAACACCTCATCTACATTCCACTCTCATCTCCCTACCCCTAACCCCTCCTAATTTCTCTCCCCCTCTCCAATCTCCCTCCCCTCTAATCTCCTCCCCCCTCAGCTCCATAACCCCTCTTCATCTCCATAACCTCTCCCCAACCCCTCTTCATCTCCATAACCCTCCTTATCTCCAAAACCCTCCCCATCTCCTCAACCCTTCCACATCTCGCCCACTTCCTCAGCTCCATAACCTTTCCTCATCTCCCCCTCCTCTTCTCATCTCCTTAACCCTTCCTCATCTTCTCCCCCTCCTCTTCTCCATAACCAATCATCATCTCCATATCCACTCTTCCTCTCCATAACCCCTCCTCATCCATTTAACCCTTCCTCGTCTTCTCCCCCTTCTCTTCTCCATAGCCCCTCTTCATCTCCATAACCACTCCTCATCTCCTCAACCCTTCCTCAACTCCTCATCTTCTCCCCATAACCACTCCTTGTCTCCATTACAGGGATCTCAAGTCTCCCTGATGTTCAGGGAGTCTCCCTCTTTTGGACAGCAGCTCCCTGATGTCCGCGAGAGAGGCATTTTCTCCCTGAAAGGTTTACAACCCCTCCTCATTTCCCTCCCCATCCTTGTGCACAGGAGAGCACAGGAAGTTATGAGCTCACAAGATTTCTGGCAAAACAAAGAGGTATTTTTTGGCATATATTGAACAGATTTAAAAAAAAAAACCACACTTTTAAAGGCATATTTAGCAGACCAAGGTAGTGCAAACAAGAGAATTTGTATCACGTACTTGACATACACTTTAAGGTGCATTTACACTGCAGGCAAAGCAGGTCAGAGGTGGCCTTTTCTTGTAAACTTTTGCATTTTCCAATGTAGTTGAATGTGTTCAAATCGAGAATATAATATTTGATTAGAAAGCCTGTTGAAGTGAACCTGTAGGCACCCTTTGAAGAATGAATGGGCTGCAATGCACCTGAAAGCATACAAAAACAGGGTTTGCTGTATATTTGTGCAGAGCATACAGCAATGCACATATGTCATGGTGAACTAAGGCACATTGCAGCGCAGGTGTGTTGTTGAGATGAGTTCATTTTCAACGACACCGCTCATTGCACGTTTCACCACACGTTACTGCAATGGTTAAAAGGGCCCAGTTTCCATGCCAGGGCTTTCTGTGACTGTGGCCTTATGGTGACAGTGATGCACTTGCGAAGATTTTCCAGCAAGTTGAAAACGTCCCTGTACAATAATAAAAAAAACCTCTGCGTGCCTGAAGCCTCGTGGTTGCCCTCTAACACATAAAACATGGCCTTACAAACTGAAGCATTGCTTGCTTTTATACATCAGACATTAAAATGGATCAGGGCGCTTCTCAGGTACTATGTTAGCAATTTATTTAACATGGTTCCAGCTACAAAAGTCATAAAAACCTCGGTATAGGAGGATTCAGACAATTTATCCCAATTACGTTCCGGTCTTGGTAAATAATATGTTCCGGCAGACGCAACCTGATTGGTTGAAGTGGACAACAGTCTCACGTTTCTTTGCACTGGTTTTATAAATGGGGCCCGCTGTGTATTACTGAGAGTACAATACATTGCAATAAACAAAAGAAACATCCACAAGACAGCTGCAATGAAAGCACCGTAATCATTTATTAAAAAGATTTCAAGATCCGTGTGTAGGAAAGAAAGCAGAGGGAGAGAACATTAAAGTAATGAGATGAGCCACAGGGTAGATGATGTGAATATGCAGCAAGTTAAACCAGGAAACAAGCTAAAAGAATTGAGCTGCTTTCTCTCATAGCATTGTAGCTGACATCTGATTGGTTGGAATGGTATACTATCTCGGTTATACACAGAAAGATGTTCGAAAGATGTTCCAAATGTAAGCATGATCAGTGTTCATGAAGTAGATAAACTATACAGGGCTAGATCTAGAAATAGGTGCTTGGAACAGCAGGGCAACAATGGGAAAGCACCCAACTCTAATGTGTCCAAATTATATTATTTTAGTTGAAGAAGAACTCTGGGCATGTACAAAATGAACCCCTGCACTGCAAGGGTTAAGTGCTTATTCTGGTCTAGCGTCTAAAATAACAAAGATATACTCACCTGATTCTCAGTTTCACTTGGCTGCTAGACCGGTCCCCACAGATTCTTCTCCCCTGGGCTCCAGCAGTCTAAATACCTGTGACGACATTCACTTGCATTGGATGTGTGGATGCTGAGGGGCTGTCCACAGCTGGAGAGGAGGGGGAGAGAGGTAAGCTGTCACTGCCACGGGTTTGAGGATCGGGTGAATATGTCTTTATTATTTCAGACCGTAGACCAAAACGAGCAGTAAACCCTTGCAGTGTAGGCAGAGTTGTAACTAGATCCTTCAGGGCCCCTGTGCGAGAAACCATGAAGTCCCTCCCCCCCCCCCCCCCCAAGGCCCGCCCACCCCCAGGTTGAACGAGAGGGGGG